CACGAATTGCTTTGCAGGAGAGCCAACAAGTATTGAGAACGAAAGAAAATGAGAAAAAAATAAAAATCTTTTGAAAATAATGGAGGGAAGCACATGGTGCGCATGAATGAGATATGCGTGTGTGTCTTCTGGGGTGACCAGACCCGCCAGATGAGTATGGATGCACTGAAGGAGGGAGGCTTATAACACCGTGCATTTTAAAAACAGTTCTATTTATTATTTTTTGGAATGATTACAAATGAAATCGATTGGGTTATAAATAATATTACAGAAAATATAAAAAAAAAACATTTACATTTTGTTTGACTCAAACTGAGAGCAACGAAATGCACAATCTGTTCAGTTTGACAAAAATGCTTAATCATATACAGGGTGAGATGAAAAACCTGCAACCAACTTCAAACTGCTGTAATTTCCAAACCACTCGTCCGACAGCTGTTAAAATTATTTCAGTGACAGCTCATTATATTGTTTACAAGCGTACAAAAGCATTTTGGTGAGAACTTTCCAGAAAAAAAATTATTTGTGATGGATTTAAAGCGTGACAGTGTGATTTCTTTATATTTTTCTGGAAAACCACGAGTGGTTATAGTTAGACCACTCCAGCATTTAAATGTGAATAAATCTTTTGTTTCTCGTACCATCGCTCGTTACCGTGATACTGGTAGCGTAGCCCGACGAAAAGGAAATGGACGGAAGAAAACAGCAATATCAGCGGAAATGATTCGAAAAATAAAGAAGCGACTTGATCGAAACCCGCGTCGCACTGGCCAAAAAATGGGTCGCGAGCTGAAGATATCGCAACATTCCATTCGGTAAATATTGGAAAAATTAACTCTGGGTAAAGCCATTGAATTTCCAAAAAGTGCAAGAACTTACACCACAACAGAAAGAAAATAGACTCAAAAGAGCTAAAGCCGAATTTGGTTTTATCCAATGAGAAAACATTCTTTGTCCAGTAGTTTGTAAACAAACAAAATGAACGTGTTTACTTGCCAAAGAGGTCAGCTGAAAATGTGCACCTTCGGTTGGCCACCAGAACTCAAGCGCCGGCTATGGTGATGGTGTGGGCCGCCATAACAGCCGATGTTTTTGTCTCACCCTGTATATCCTGTACTCCATAAGTGACTCTCATTCCATTTTCTTTTCAATTTTTAGTACATTTTAGTATTTCTCGTACCCTTTTAGTACGAATTTCCAAAAACCCATCTTTAAAACACTCCCAAGCATCAAGACTATTTTTATCCGTTTCGTCTGGGCTAGATCAGTCAGTCACTACTATTTTATATATATAGATTAATTGTACAAACATTCTAAAATAAAATAATGTCAGGAGATTTGTAACTCATAATTAAATACGTATATAAGTGTCTGACTTCAAACACGTGTTTCAAAAAATTCTATAAAAAAAATTCTATTTTCGCAGATGTTTTAAAGAGAAAGCATGAAAGCGAGTATCAAATTAAAAGCTCTCGGAAATTTAAACATTTCGGCAATTACTTAGCTTAGCCACTAAGAAAATAATAGAAAAGGTTAATATATTTCAAATACAATAATGATACAATTAACACGTTTGCCAATCAAAATCATTTATATGGTATGTTCATAAAAATCATTGTTAGTTTTCATATTCATTGATCGGGCAATTTGTAGCAATAAACAATCAGCTGCCACATTTATGGTTCAAGGTATAAAATACATAAATTATCTTTAAAAGGAGTATACTATTAAAAAATAATAATAATTTTGTTTTTTCCTGCTACCTTAAACCAATTCTAATTCAAACTGGTCCATTTATCACGTGAACGTTTTTTGAAATTGTTTTTCAAATTACTCTTAATCTACATACTTAACTGCTTTATCTAAGTATATGATATAAAGTTACAGCAAAAAGCCTCTCCAAAAATTATAGCAAATTAAGGGTTTTTATTATTTCAATAATATTGATTAATGGCAAAGAAAATATACGTTTAATAAAAATGCAGAATACATTTAATTTAAATTTAATTGTACATTGAGTAAACTAAATACTTCGGCATGCCCCCAGCAATTAAAAGTATGTCCCTCTTTAAGAAAATTGCTTAGTTTATTAGGGTTCTAAGATTTGCCTTCATTTAAACACACAATATAAAAATAATAGAGCTGGGTAAAGATAAACTTCTTTCTGTTTATGCAAATGTTTTCATGGATGAAATTAAAAATAAAATGGGAACATGTTTGATTTTCTTAGATTTGAGAATTAGCGACTTCCTGTTTTCAATAAAATTTCCTCAATATCTTTCTTATATTCGAAAAACATATGATTGTTTATCCTTTGATGGACACTTTAATTCCATCTTTTCTCTCCCTCTCTCTCTTAGTGACCCACACAATCTGTTTCGCCTTGCATCCAAAACACACAATTTGTCATGAGAGCGAGGAAAAAAGAAACGCGCGCATACCACTCTGACATTTTCTCCAACATAATGTCGGCAAAAAAAGTGAGAGCATAACATGCATATTGACCAACAATCTCCTGGTATACATTTAGACAAGACATTGGCGGTTTTATTATGATTAAGTTTGTCAGGAGCAAAACGACGACGAGATGAAATTTAATATAAATATAATATTTTTTTATTCACAGCCACCAGCCGATAGACAAGTCGCCAATACAGAAAGAAAAAAAACTAAAAACAAGGAGACCACAAACAAATACCCAAACGCCATTTTGTTTGAAATAACATAACAAGAGATTGCCACACACTAAAAACAAAAAGACAACAACAAAACTGCTATGGTACGCAATTGTTTGTGTCTGGAAAGGTATTTAAGCTTGTTCCTTTTTCGAACTGTCAACAAAGAGACCGACCACCGATACAATAATCTACCTTCTGCCATTTGTTCTTCTTGGCAAGTGGCGTATTATAATTTGTACAACAATGTTGAATAACAAATACATTTCAGGAACGTCGAACAAAAACGATTGTTTAAAAAGATGTCTACCTAGCTCAGAGGGGCTTCACCGATAGGACAAAAAGTCGAATGCCTCGAACAGAGGACCTTAAGGGGATTTTACAAAAAAATGGTAAAAACGTTTTAATCCTATAAAGCAAAAAGTTGTAAAAATAGCGAAAATGGAGATTATTCCAGGTTCTGAAACAGAGAAAATGAAATAAATTTAACAAAGTGTTTTAAAAAATACGAATAACTACTATTTGAATTTTGTATTCCAGACATATATAAATATGAATGGAGGGAGTAAAAAATACAAAATATTTGCAACAAAAATGTTGAATTGTATAGGTAAATAAAAACAAGCGAAAAAACCGACGCAATCTATATACGGTCGTGGTCATACACAGATGTATTTCACCCAACCTCAATAAAATCTTTGAGAAAGAAATCCTTTTTTGAAAATGGATATCAGAAAACCTGGAGAACAATGATTGCATTAAGCTTTGTTGGGTTCCAGGGTTGATGAGACTCTGGAAGTTTTCTAGACTAAAAGTCTTTTAAATATGCTAATTTTCTCCTAATCACAGGGGATTCTTCTATAGAGAAGCAGTCTAAAAAGTTCCAATATATACAGTTAGCAGATATTTTCAAAGTCTAAACTTCACGTGATCCGAAAGTCTTTTTTGTTTTGAAAACTACAATAGAACTGTCTACGTCTTCTTCATTCATAGGAATACTAATCCATAGAACAAAAGCTTTTGTCCTAATATACCTGTATCTTGTTCTTAAGAGTTCCTGCTTGAGGCATATTTTAAATTTCTACTTAGAATATATTTCTAGGGAATTTCTTAGGATTGGAATCTTTTTGAGGTCTTTTCAGAAAGATATATATTTTGAAATAGTTAATATTTGGATACCTTTATAATCAAAAACAAATAAGCTGGCGTAGGAAAGATATATTCTGGAGAAAGAAGCTTTCTTAGAAAATCATAATCTATGGAATGAATTTTTGTAACCATTTCATATAAAAAAGAAAGAAGTCTACTTTGTCTTTACTTTGAATAAGGAAGTCTTATATAGAACGTGGATCTTCTTGACATTATTTTATGGGCAAGAAACTTCCATTGACAGAAAGTATTAATGGGGTATAAAAATAAACAGACAAGACTGGATACAAGGATCTTTAAAATATAGGAAAATTCCTTAAAGTTCTCTAGTAGAAAATATTGCTACATTGGCAGAAGGAATTTCTCCTGATGACAACTTTATGGGCGCAGAATTTCTGCAGACTTTCCAAGACTAATATGCTTTATACTTCTCTCCTCCACCTAGGGAATCTCCAATTAAGCTCCTACAATGGAAAATCCCAAATATATCCCAATGTTTGTACATTTCCAAAAAAATATTAGATTTATTTTCCAAATTCCTAACGAATAAGCAAAGGCTACAGTTGAGGCCGATCATGTGATACCCTACAACATATTAAATATAAGTTCAAAAATTCATTGTAATGTATCTGTATTTTGTCGTCATTACATACCTCCGTTCAAATCTCTAACCTCGTGCAAAATTCCCGGTCGATTGTTCTTCAATTGTTATCTCTAGAATTGTTGGTCCGTTGCAACCCCTAAATATCCTCTCCAACAATAATAGGCTACTATTCTTAAACCTATCGGGCCATAAATGAGACCTGTAGTCTGATTACACATTACATGGTTACACGGACGGACACACATGACTAGATCGATTCAGTTCGGCAGATCCATAAATTATATCCTATGTCCAGGACCAATATTTCGAGGTGATACAAACATATTGCCCCAACTAAGCTTATAATACAACTAACCATTTGCATCGTGGGGTATAAACATCATTTGCAACTCTCAAGGTCTCAAGGGTTTAATTGAAATCCTATTTGTGGTATGCCCCTGGTCCATATTTCTATATTCTTTCCCAAACATCTTTCACACCAAATAAACGAATATCCTCTTAGTTATGCAGATTTCCCAAAATTATATAAAAATTCCAATTAGAAAAACAAATAAACACAACGACAAACTTACCTGGATGTCCTTCTCCTACGGATTCGGAAGTGAAAAGGAATGATTGACCATCTTCCATGTCATATTGGGTACCATTGCCGTTGACACTGCAACCGTTGGCATGACCGTTTGTTAGAGTAGCTGGCATATTGATTGTTTGTTGTTGTTGCTGTTGTCGTTTAAAATTGTTTATATATGGTTATTTATGTTGTAGCAGCAGCGGTCGCAGACTGTATTGGTATGATGTTGTTGCACAGTTGTTGTAGATACTTTTGGACAAGCTGAAGAAAATGAATTCTTTTTTAGAGATTTGATTTTTCTTGGTTTTCTTTCAACAATATAAATACAAATATTTCATATATTTAATAAACTAAAAATAACTATTTTCAAAATATAATTGATTTTTCTCAAAGTGACAGTATTTGTTTATGCTTTGTGTTGTTGTTGCTGCTGTTAGCCGACAAACATTTGAACGTTGTTGGGGAGAGGGATTGGATTGAACTGTGGGGGGTCGCCGCCGCCGATGCGGTGACTATATTTCACAAGGAAAACACACTTGAAAAAAGAGCACACACACTATATTTTTTTCTTTTCGTTTTTACTTGCTTTGCTTCAAATTTTCTTTTTTATGTGATATTTTTATAGAACAGACAAAAATTTATGTAACTTTTCTTTTTCGGTGAAAAATATATCTTCGCACTTTTCAGTCTTTTGCAAATTGACTAGATACGTTTTGTATGAAACTTTTAAATTTTTGCACTTAAAATTGGCCAGGAAATAACTTGGGTTACTACCCAAAGCTACTACTTTTTTGAAATTCTTCCGTACACAAATAATGGTGGATTTGGTTCCTTCTTCTTGTTCTCCTCCAGAGCTAGGGATATTTGAAATATATACGCGTTGTTCTATGTTTGTGTGCGGACAGACAACGTTCTGTGTGTTTCGCCACAAGAAGACAGGCACAGGCAGGCAGATGCAGAGAAGGCAACGTCCTCACACCTCGAGGTTCTAAACGTAAAAGAGCGCACAAATTTCACATTGTTTTCATTTTATACTCTTCTACCCATTTTCGTTCACATATGCGCCGTCTCCAACTAGCCAGCCATTCGAAATGTCCAGACCGACAGACGGATGGATGGCTAGCAGCCATAGCGGGGTATTAATTGTTTGAGTGTTGGGTTATTAGATTATATTTAGTCGTTATTTGTTAAATTCCTTGAATATTCCTATTAACTAAATTCCAACCAAATCCTAAATCCAAATTACCTGGGAATCTGAATTTTTATTTTTGTTTCATATAATTCTTGTAAATGTGCGTTTCAAACTGCACATGTTTTTGCCAATTTTTATTCTCTGAGATCTGTAGTGTGTGAGTGAGTGTATGTGTGTTTCTCCATTTGACGTTTCTATCGTTTTTCTCTTTCTTATCGATAAATAACAATGTGCATGATATTGAGCGTACAGAAATGTACGCCATACGCTGTGTCAATGATTGGTCTGTTCCAGAACTGCAAGAATGTAAATGTTTTTACTACGATGATGCAGATTCTTTAAAATGTTGCCGATATCATAATCGTAGTAAAAACTTTTACATTCTTGCAGTTCTGGAACAGACCAAGTGTAAACGTTTTTACAACAATAACCAATTTTCCCTTTATGATATCGAAAAAATTTCAAAAATAGTAGATTCTTGCAGCTTGTGGGACAGACTAATACTTGCAGTTCTCTTATATTCTACTCACAAGTTATCATGCGTTCAGGTAGATGCATCAACGCTTGGGAACATTGATATGTAAACATTTTCAAAATGTTTTTTTTTTTTGCAAAAATAAGTAGGTTTTTTATGTTTTTTATACAACACCAATCTGAGGTTGTTATGATATGAATTTTTTACCATGGCACAATGAAAAAAAGGTAACCTCATTTCAAATTAACCTTCCCAGCTCTGCAGTTTCTATAATTTACCTTGTCAAATTTCAATGCATAAAAAACAGTTCCCATCTCTGATTTTGTATGTATACAATGGATTTTTTGAATATAGAGTTTGACAATGAGATGTTTTCAAATGTATAAATTTGAAAAAATTGTAAACCTATGATTGCATGACCTTACCTTCTTAGTTCTACCATGGTTTTAATGAATTTGAGTAACATTTCATTGACAATTTTCAATTTCAAAATTGGTTTGACAGTTCATTGACCAGCAGCCATAGTAGAAGAATACAGGTAGTGCATCGACCCAGCTGCTGGGACAATGAACTGTCAAACCGATTTTGATATTGAAAATCGTGAATGAAAAATTATTGAAATTTGTAAAAATTGTTAAAAAATACATATCATTACAACCTCCGATTTGCGTCGTATAAGAAAATATATAAAAATCGACTTATTTTTGACAAAGCACTTAAAAATGTTTGACATATCAATGTTCCCAAGCGTTGATGCATCTACCATGCCAGCAGCTGTGTCTCAAATGTAAATTCCATAGCGTATTCGTCAAAATTATCCACTGGATTTATGAATACGATTTACGTGACGTATACGCTATCGAATTGAAGCAAAATTCTCGAGACAAGCATGGTAGAAGAATATAGGTAGACGCATCGACACAGCTGCTGAGACAATGAACTGTCAAACCAATTTTGGAATTAAAAATGTTGAATGGAAAATTATTCAAATTTATAAACATTGTTGAAAAACACGAATTATAAAAACCTTCGAATGACGTCGTATAAGAAAACATATAAAAATCTACTTTAATTTAAAAAAATATTTAAAAATTTTTGACATATCAATGCTCCCAAGCGTTGATGCATCTACCTGTATCCTTCTGCCATGGAGACAAGCGTGAAATAAAGATTATACGCCTGGAATCTCTTTCAAAAATGTAATCTAAAATGTTCAATATTACAATTTCATAATAAATAATAAAAAAAGAAACGTGAAAAGAACAAATTTAAAAAGGAAATATTTTTCATTTAATATTTTCATAGAACAAGAATCGTGTCCCTGATATGCCATGAAATTGAAAGATTGAACAGTTAGGACTATGTTTTTGCGAGAACATCCAGGCATTTTATTCATCTTTCGCGCTATATGACTCATTTTAAAATTTTTGAATAATTCTGACAGAAAGGTTTATGAAGATTTATGTAGATTTATGAAGCTGTTTTATCTTCTTATTGGGTAAAGCCATGGTATAATAAAAAGGTAAGGTAGAGCTACCAGCTTATTACAATTGTTTGTGTCCGACTTCTGTCAAATTTGTGTAAATTGTGTTGTAAAATAAAAACAAAATATTTTCAAAATCAATGATTGAAAGAAACGTACATTGCGGGGTGCGTATTAATGATATTAGCCGGTTTTCTCACTAAATTGAAAGATAGAACATTTGGATCATATTTTTTAAATAGGCATATCCAACTATGCATCTTCTTAAATGACTCAGTTCAGTTTCGGCCCATATTTTAAACGTTGTCACGATGTCTTTTGGAATAAAAAAACGTATATATCTTTTCATGTTAAAATAAAGAAGGTAACGTCATTTCAAATAAGACTATCCATCTCTGCATTTTCTGTAATTTACATTGTCAAATTTCAATGAATACAAAACATATTTCCATCTCAGATTTCTGGGATTTACAAATATAAATTTTGACAATGATATGTTGTCAAATGAATCATTTATAAATATTGTAAACATATGATTGCATGACTTTACCTTCTTAACTCTACCATGCTCCACCCTTTGTTTCAATCAATTAAGTAATTCATTGTAGAATTAAGAAGATAACGTCATGCAATCATTTTTTACACATTTTTTCTCCAAATTTGTACCTTTGACAGCATCTCATTGTCAAAATATATATTCATAAATCCATTATGTATGCAAATCATAGATGGTAACATGTTTTTACTAAAATCTAATAAAATTGAATTTAAAAGCGTTGCCTAAAATTCGACGTAGCGTACATAAATATTTAATTTCCTCACTAGTGTAAAATCTTTTGTACGTCCGTATTATCCAAATACGCCAGGTCCATATTTCAGAGTCTACCAAACGAAAACGTTCTTATTATTGAGACATTTTTTTCGATTCACCTAATTGTAATACTTTCTATGATGCAAAGATTCACATTTTTGGTATTAAGGTCGGAATAGATAAAACGCTTTTTTATTTCCAACCATGGCAAAACAATAAAGGTAAACTCATTTGCTAAATTTAATATGGCAATCCTTTTCCGACGAACTCGACATTGTCATTTTTTCGTATCTTAAATATTTTCGTATGTCGAGTGGCAAATTTTACAAATATAATAAATAAACTTTTATTTTTGGCATTCCTTTTCACATGAGAAGCCAGCCGATGATTTAAGCCAGTCATAAAGCGTTTTATGTATTCCCATTTTAGCTCACATATAAATACATATGTTTAAAGTGTGTGGTGAAAAACGTCGACTGAGTACGTCGAATTTTAGGCAACGCTCTAACCGATAAATGACACAAAAAAGAGGTTACCATGAATTAACTGTACAACGAATTAAAAAACATATAATACGTTTGAAGCAAGCGTAGAATTTATAAAACACTATTTTTTTGTTATGTATGCTTCCTGTAACAATAAAGCTTAAGGAGCTGCTACGAACAAAATACAGAAAAATTCGAAATACTGGTCTAAGTGACATGATCGATAGTGTGTAGTCAACTTAAAAGGCTTCCATTTGACAAGTAACAGCTGTTCGTGTTGTATAACCGTTTTTTACTTTCATATTTTTTTGCACAGATTAATTGTTTCATTTTTTATACAGAACAGAATATTTTTATGTCTATAAATATATAAATTTCACAACTACTATATATTTTTTCCAACACTTAAAAATGCCATAGAAAACTTCCACAATTTTGTATTTTTTCCATTAGAATAGAATTTTAACAATTTATGTACATTTTCACTTTTGTATAACAAGACAAAAAATAATTTAAAAAAAACATGTGTAATCAAACAAAAAATTCAATGAACTTTATTGATCGGGAAGCGTTGTTCGACAGATAAGACAAGCATGTTTTTGAACTCTTTCACATGTTAATTTATAGACAAAACGTGCTGATCGTTATCTTCGAATAAATAGTTTATATAACGGGATATTTTTTACAGGATCCTTTGTTTTTATTCCTCTTGGCAAGAGCATCACATATATTTTCACAGTAAAAAGAATTAATAATTTTTGTCTCAATCATACAAAAAAAAAAAAAAACAAATCACATGTCCTTTCACAATTCCACTAAACAATACACGATACTAAACTTTGAGAAAAATTCCTAGAATTCTGATAGTTCCAAAAAAAATCTTATTGCACATTCAGACTTACTTCTCACAACGGCAGTTTAGTATTAACTGTTTGAAATCCACTAATTTCAGTTTCATTTATAACATGCGGAAAATACAATATTAAACCCTGCTCTATGTGGAATGTAAAGAAAACAAAATCAGATCTTCGTTAAAATAAAGCTTATTATCAATGGACAAAAGCCGAACTCGGCATACCGAACACAGAGATCAGAGATTGGTTTTTCATATAGCTATAATTTACATGCGCATGTATGGGGATATTGTCTAATGGAAGGTGTGTGCAGTGCTGTGCTTTACAGTAATTGGCAAAAGTATGCGTCGAAGTGAATTGTGATAAAATTTTACATATTACAAGTAAACCGGGAAAGGTAATCTTACAAAAGAGAAACCGAATAATCCGTTTTTAATTGATTTAACTTACATCGACATCTATATTACGCGTTTTGTGAGAAACGGCATTTATTTGACGTATAATCGATGGTATTGCCATAGTAGAATCATGGAGGTAAAGTCACGCAATCATATGTTTATAATTTTTTCATTTGTTTTTTTTTTTTTTTTGACAACATCTCATTGTCAATATTTGTATTTATAAATACATTGTTCATACACAAATCAGAGATGGGAACCTGTTTTTATGTAGTGAAATGTGACAAGATAAATTACAAAACATGCAGA